ACTGTCAAATGCAGGAAGAAATACAAATATTTCTATTCCACAAACAGAAATACAGGAAGCTCTTCACAGAATCCATCAAACCATTTAAAAAGTCATCCAAAAGAAGGCCCATGATACTCACTGGTTAAACCACTGTCAGTCTGGATTGTATTTATAGTATCAGATATTCTTCAACATTACCTTGGCTTTTTGTTTAGTACTAGCTATTCCTTGTTAATGAAAGTTAAACTCAACAGCAGCATTCTGACTGCAGAACAATTTTCTAAATTAAATAAAGAAATACGATTCTGCTGATATTAATGTAGGATAGAAGAGATCCCCTGAATCAGTCTGAAAAGAACCACAGCCTCCTCCATCGTGTCCCCTAACTGGTGCTCCATGAAACCCTGCACACTGATGGCACAGAAGAACCTACAAAGAAAACAATCAGGGATATTGAGCTGTAATTTAAGGTAAAAAATGGTCTGTTCACAGGCAAAAAGAAAACCACAGAAGAATGTGCTGCAGGGAGATGCTTCCTCCTGCAAGGTAAAGCTGCATCACATTTAAAGAGATTTATTTTCAAATGAAGCTTATAATACATTTTGACAACAATAAACATCCAAGATGGGTAATTACTTCTAAATTATTGAAAATATGAGTTGACTTAATTTTATTCTTATGTGGACTAAAATAAAGCTTTGTCCTAATTTTGTTCTGAGACCTCTTCTCAAATAAGGAGTTGTCCCTGCTGTTACACTCATGGCTTTATTATTCCCCCTTGAATTTTAAGAAGTAAAAAATGAATATAAGAAATTACTGCTTAAATGGCTCACACATCATCCTAGGACCCTTTTTTCAGCTTATGAAATTTTCCCACTAATCTTGATTTTACAAAAGGACGAAGGGAGGTAAAAACACTGGAGGCATTCTGATTCCCTTTTTTTTGTACACGAGTGCAAACAATTAGATTATAATTAATGTTTTATCTGTCAGCTACTCCTAATATAACAACATGGCACTTCCACCTGACCAGTAGTTTCTGTCACTTACTGCTTTTTCTATATTAATACTCCATGATCTTTTAAAAAACCCACAAAAACCACAAGAATAAAGTCAGCAGTAAAACAAAATACAAGAGAGACCAAAGAGTCACTTCAGAGCTCATCTGCTATTCATGGTGTATAGCTTAACAAATAATGTGTCTGTACTGGATTTTATTATGTTACTGGGTGACCTCCAGAATCTCAGGAGACCAGCTAAGAAGAGAGATGACCATTATTCCATCAGTAAGAAAAATCAATAAGAGTAGTTACACACTTTATGCAGTCTAAAACCTAAGTCATATAGAATTTTTAAGGAGAAGAATAAAAAACCCAAACAAACAATTCTTAATTTTCCCTAGCCAATAAAGTAAAAGAAAACTATGTTCCATTCAGAATCAAGGCCAGGAGTCTGGCTGTTATGCTTAAATACACAACATGCAAATATAAATAGCATTTGTATCACAATATAGGATTGCTTTGGGGCTTTGGTGGGCGGTTTTTCCCCACTTTCAAACCATTCTTTCAAACCATTCTTATCTGTAATTTCACACCTATTAAAAATAAAATCCTTATTTAACAGTAGCTAGAAATGCTAAACTAAAAACCTACGTAAATGGAAAGCAGAGATAAGAGCCAAAGTGTTCTGCTGAGAAAAAAAAGTAAAAAAAAAACCCCAAGCCTGAAATCTTTTCTCCCATCTCTGTTTTCTGAGGCTCCTTCAGTGCTTTTGCTAGAGGAGAAACTTAAACATAAACTGGGGGGATAGGAAAACTAGCAACATCCTAAGAAGAGTATTTGTAATGCCCTGAAGAGCATTTCCAGCCAGGGCATAATCACTGCATGGCACATTCCTTAATCCCTGTCACCAAGTGGGACCCTGCTGTGCCACAAGTGACACAGTAAGGGGACAGTGGGCACACAGGAACAAATGCCAGCCTGATGTACACTGCAGGAGCACATCACACATCAGTAATTACCAGCAGCACTCACCACACCTTCCAGTTCTCCTTGGAACTCACAGTCACGCTGTGGTTTAGCTGAAGGAACAGAGTGCAACTATTGCTATCAGAGCCTACCCAAAACAAAACCCCCTATTTCTCAGATGGTGTAGGGATGCTCAGAATAATGAATAATCTTCTTAAAAAAACCCTGCAATGCAGGAAGATGTGTAAGCCTGGAGTAACCACCCCAGTGCTGGCTGCACCGCTGTCAGGGACTGGGCAGTCACTCAGTCATGGGGCTGCCCTCCCCAGCAGCTGCATCCCAGCCAGGGCACACACCTGGCTGCATCCCAGCCCTGCATCCCAGCCCTGCTCACACCTGGCTGCATCCCAGCCCTGCATCCCAGCCCTGCTCACACCTGGCCCTGCATCCCAGCCCTGCTCACACCTGGCTGCATCCCAGCCCTGCATCCCAGCCAGGGCACACACCTGGCTGCATCCCAGCCCTGCATCCCAGCCAGGGCACACACCTGGATGCATCCCAGCCCTGCATCCCAGACAGGACACACACCTGGCTGCAGCAGCAGTGCCTCTGGGTCACTGGAGTGACCAGGGTGCTGGAGTCAGAGGCATAGAGTGTGTGCCCTTATCTCTGAGACCTGGCTCTGACATCCAAGAAAACACTGAATTTCATATAACACCATGGAAACAACCGTTAAACAGAAAAACAAGTTAGTGTGTAAGTTAGTTTTCTTAAGCTACTAGGTAAAAAAGTTAAAGTTTAAGGTTCAAGCTAGTTAGAAAACAAAAGACAAGCTGGAGGATTTAGGGTGTTGTCTCTTCTTCCTTCTTCTTCCTTCTTCATCTGGAGGTTTTTTGGTAGTAGTAAGTGACTGGATAGAGAATGGTGCAGTGCAGCACACAGGTGTTGGGTCACTGGGTCACTAAGGAAAATAGCTTACTTGACAATTGTTAATTGGATAAATAGACATAGAAAAGACCTTGAAGAAGGTCTTTGTTAGCCATTTTGTACCTTTCCATCTTAGTGCATGTAGCTCCTTGTACCCTGTATACATGTAATATAGGTAAGAATAAACAACCAAGTCTGAACAAGAGAAAACTGCCTCTCTCTCATCAGTCTCGGTCCAAGGGAGATAAAGAACCCAACCACCAGTGTCCCATCAGGACACTGTCCCATCTTTCTTTGCAGACACAGACCATGAGCATCGTCAGCCCTGCAACACAACTGCACCAGTGCTCCAGGAGAAACTCCATCCCTTGGAGCAGGAGATGAACAACAGCCCAGGGTGCTGCTCAAACCCCTCAGCAGGCAGCAAACACAACTCCCAGCCCAGCTCTGCCCCGGCTGGGGACAGCCACTGGCTCTGAGAGCACTGCAGGATGGCTGCAACTGGAACCAGTAAGCCCTGGGTGCTGGTGGGCAGAGCAGGCAGCTCTGGACAGGATCCAAGCTGCACACTGTCTTCTTGAGGAGATCAAATAAATAAATCAGCTTTATGAAATCTAATGGTCTCAATAAAACATAGTGCAAGGGGAAGATAATTCTTTAAGAGCTACCAGAGTCAGCAAAGAAAAAACCAGATAAAACCCCAAACACACAAAACCAAACAACCTTCCCAAAAAAAAAAAAAACCAACCAAAACCCACAAAAAAAACCCCACCACAAGCCAAACAACCAAAACATTGAAAAAATAAAAAAATGAACAAATTGCAAACTGTTTTTCAGGAATAGTAGAAAACCCCAAGGGAAAGGAAGGGGAGAACTGTAGTCTGGGACTTAGAAGCCCACAGTGACAGTATTGCCTCTCAGTCTCTACATCCTGGGTAAAAATGCTGTTGAGTTACTGCACTTCAAAGGCATTAAATTAAAGTGTGTGCCATTAAAGATGGCTACAAACTGTAAGGCAGCAAGAGGAAAGAAAACTGAAATCAGGAAAACAACCAGCTAGTCTGAGCTCCTCCAAGCTAACTGAACCTTTTGGGATAGGGCATTTGGGCTGTGGAAGATGTTTTCTTCCGAAGTTTTAGTGGGAAACATTTTCAGCACACTTCACAAAACCAAGGCACTTGTTTTACTTTAACAGCAGAGCTGAGAGTGAATGACAGTGGTGGTTCTAGCACCATCACCCAGCTGGCTCGTGAGAGAATTCAGAGATGATTTTGCCCATTCCCAGGAACAAAAGCAGGCAGAAAAAGCCATGTTCTGGCTCCACACACACAGCACACACTGCTTGCTCTCATTGCACTTCACCTTGTTCCTCACTCAGCTACACAGAGCAGAGAGATCTGGCCTGGGAGCACAGAACAGGTGACAAGGAGATTGTCACAGCACATGGATCATCTCTCAACAAAGAGCACCATTTAACACAGAACAGGCGTCACACCTCTGTCACAAAGAATAAGCAGCAAAGGAAAATAAACTTCAAGCCAAGTGCTGTCCATGGAATCTCAGTGAGCCAAGAAGGAAGCACGAGGAGCAAATCTGTGGTGTCTCATGAACAATGTCTTAGCCCAGAGCCTGCCTTTATCAGCTCCTTGAAAAAGAGCACAGTTTTGTACTGCCTTGGACACTAATCCTGATCTGCAGAATATGCAGAGCTATGATTTCCCAACTGAAAGCCCAGTTTTGATTTCTTTACATTCAACTTTATTCACAAGCCACCCTCCTGACTTCAATGAAGGAAAAAAAATAGGAAAAGACACAGCTTAGCATATTTAAAGGGATTAGAATCTGATGCATATCAATCCCAAAAAGCCATCTAATTACAGAACAAACCACAAATAATGTGCAACAAAAAGACACATAAAACTTAAGTCAAAAAGCATCTTTTCACCAAGTCATTAAGAAATGCATAAAACATTTGTATTTTCTGCACTTCAACTGTTTACAGATCTTGCCCGCAAAAATTACAAATTAATATTTAAGAAGTTAACAAATGCACCATTCCCATTCACAGAAACAGTGGCCTAAAGCTAATCAATCAATTGCTGTACAAAATGGAAATGGAACAGCTGAATTCCACATATAATCATTTATTCAGAATACACAGGGTATGTACATATAAATAATACAAGACATGCAGCAAGGATGCACAATATTTTTAAAGTGGTTTTTATGATTTCCTCAAGTCTTCACATCCTATTACAGTTCTCTTCAAGAAGTCAACTTAAAATGGTAAACGTTTTCATGAATCAGTGCTCCAAATGTATTTAAAAAGAGCTATCAGCAAGAAAAATCCTTCTTTAGGGCAGAGTTTTTACAAATTACTTAATGTGAAAAACGAGGTTCACATATTTTTTTATAGAATTTAAAAGTTTAACAGAAAGACAATTAGGAGATAGAAATAAAGTGAAGTATACAGATAGGGCCGGGTGTCTCTGCATTCAGCCAAGAGAGCACACCTTACTAACACAGGATTGTCCCTTAAAAACAGAATCCTACTACATATTCATAAATTCTCATACATATTCATACATTCTTCTTCAGTTTTGGATGTTTCTTTGTTTAGTTTTTGACTCGGTCCCTTCCCAATTGATCAATCTTCTTGGCTGCACCGAGTTTCACATTCCCTGCAAACAGAAATGCAATAAATTCCTCCCCCAGAGCTCTGGTCACTGCTGTCCTCACCTGGACAAGATAATCTAAGAATGGAGGGGGGTCTCTAATTACCATTTTCAGTCTTTGGGTTATACAAACAAAAGTAGTTTTTGTTTTAATACTATGCCATAGCTCAACATATATGTATATTATACTACTAAGTTTCATCAATAAAAGAAATAGAAGGAACTATATTAATATAACAAAGTTTTCTAACCTTATACATATAACATTCATTTTAATATTTGCAAAAAACCAACAATATAATATGTATCTATAACACTTGACAAATAAATTTAAATTGTAATCAGCAATACATACACCTAAAGTAAGCCTAACCTTGGACTAACTCATTTCCCCAGCTGTTGGTGTAACATTTTGTATGAGAAGTCCGAGTACAACACAAGGAACTGCAAGAAGCACGTACAATGAACTTTATCCTGTCAGCAGCTGCACTGGGATATGTTGGTGATGAGACTTTTTAAAATTCATCTTCTCCTCAGAAGCACCATCCTGAGAAAGAGCCCGGTCCATCCAGCAGCATGATAATTGGAAATCAATTATCTTCTTAGTCTTTCAATACTTTTTCTACCTGAACAAGCTATTTTAATACATTCCCTTAGTTTTAATATCCTTACCAATTGCACCATGATATTCAATATTTCTCATGGGATGTAATCAAAAATTCACTGGCGTGAGTTAGGAATGGCAACAGTGGTGTCCTCTGCTGAGTTTCTCCAAGCTGCAGGTTCAAGAATTACGTCCCTGAGTGAAAGGACTTGCAGTTAAAAGAAAACCTGCCCAGGTCAGCCCCTTGAGAAAGAGAGGAGGTCAAAAGGTCAGGGTGCGCTAAACAGCATTTTCCAGAAACAGGGAAAATTGGAGCCACTAGCACAAAGCAAGACTTCCTGGTACACCACCCCAGACTCACCTCAGAGACTTCAGAAACAGGTACAGTATCATGATTCCTGTCATTTTCTCCTGCACTTTACAAAACATTAGTTCAACTAAATGGTGTTTAAAACTGGTGCAATAAAGACACTTTTCAGCACATCAACAGTAACCACATCACTTGGTCAGGCAGCAATTTGCTCAAGACAAGATTTGTAAAGAGATTTACAATACTGACATGTAAATATTTCTTTGTAATATATCAACATTTTGGTTCTTTTTGAGTTCTCTAGAATTGTTAAACTAAAATCTTAAGAGGCTATGAAATATGTAAACATTCTGTCTTTAAACTAATCTGGGTTACAAAGAGGTATCAAGAAGAACCAGGAGACTGCAGCCCACTTACCCATAACTTTGCACCTGAACAATTCAGAACAGGCTGCAGAAGTCCCTTGAGTGTGCTGAAGACAGGTTATTTTTAACAACTGAAGACAAAAACCAACTTAACAATTTGACAGGAAAATGAAACATTAACAGGAGAGAGAGGAATAAAGTCAATTATAATTTAATTAGCTTTCCAAGCTATTCAGTGAATGTTGGTGCTCATGAATAGCCATCAATACTGCATTCTAGTAATTTGTTATGCAAATGAAGCACTTCAGCAGATTATCCCACCCAGAAGTTAATACCCTTAAAAAGAACTCAAAAAAATATTATAATCTATTTGCCCTTATTATGAAGGCAAAGGAAGGAAACAACACAGAGAACTTCCCTGGAATTTGAACTGGTTCTACAAAGGCACCTGTTTACATCCCAGAAAAATTCCCTCAAATTGAAGAAGATTTTGAAATACCAAGGCCAACTTTACAAAAGACAGTTGTTCATGAATTATAGCAAAGAAAGTGAACCATTAGCACACATAAAAGGAGCTCATAGCCTGAGCACAGTCAGAACAAAGTCAGTATCTCCACTCTGAATGAAAAAGAAAAAGAAAACCCAAACCACTGGTAGTGGTCACACTGAATCCAGGCCTGAATACAGAGGAGGAATGGTCAAACCTCATGTAATTGCTGCTGTGAAAGCTAGGAAGACAAGACCCAAATTTTCCCTGCAATGTTATTTTCAGTGATACTTGAAAATAACATATGTGAAGCTGCATGATCAACACAGCACACACAGCAACTCATCAGTAGTGTCATGTTAACCCCAGTCAGCAGCTGATGAAAGTTTATTTAAAAATCAAAAGCATTCTTTATTTCTGTCCTGCCCAGACAAAGTCTGGGGTGTTAACAGAACATGTTAATCTCAGAAGCAGTCAGGTGTTTGGCAGGTCACACAAAAGTTTATCACACACATACCCAGATATTGCAAATCACTGGAAAATATTCTCAGTAATTTCTGTCAGCACAAAGGAGCACAATCCCACGCAGTTTATTGGGTTTTCAAGCACACTACCCACAACATTTCTCTTTAAGGTCACAACAGTGTGGAGCATTACTTTGTACAAGGCTATCAAACACAGTCAACACCATTTCTGTCAGACACCCTGAACTCCTGTGTGCAAACCTGCAGATTACCAGGGACTGACCCAGCCTTCCCAGAGCTAGGAGAATGAGCCATTCATTTCCATCTGAGCCCCTAAAATAGGACAATGCTTCAGAATGATACGTCAGTAAAACTTTTTCTCCAATTTTTGTCAAAATAAATACTGCATGGAAATTCCCATGCAGCCAAAGTGTCTCCAGCTAAATCACTGCAGTGAAGAGAGCAGCAGCTTTTCAGGGTCACAGTCTTACACAACCCATTTAGAACTGTAAGCTGGCAATGATATTTCCAGTCCCTTTCTACAATGGCAGTCCCCATCAAACACATCCTGGAGCAAAAACACCAGGCTGAGGGTGAGCACAGGATGCTGCAGGTCTTGTGCAATTTGAGCAGCCCATTTCTCCATGAGGATCACAAGGGAAATCATGATCCTCCCAAGGCAGGTGCAATTGTTGTTCTGAGCCAGGTATTTTGGAAAGGCTATGAAGAATCTTCCCTTTGAAGGACAGAAGTCACTCTCAGTTTTACTGAATGCACTCCAAAGTTTAGCCAAAGTGAGTTCCCCCCCTGATGGGTCATACAAAGCTGATGGCAATCAGTTTCACTCAATAATGGGAATGCCAAATGGAACAGCATTTATTACTACAGAAATTAAGCATCAGTTCTTCTGCATTTCAGATCAACTTCCTGCAAGAGCAAGCACTCAGTTGGGAGCAAAACCCAAGCTTTTAAGATATTAATTTCTACATGCCTAAGAATACGAAAGGATGCAGGTTCCATTTCATTTTCTCTCTGCTCTCCTGATCTCCCAGCGATCACAGGGTGCTGAATTTTGACAGAGCCACTACACACACTGATATGCATCACAAAAACACTGCCAAGTTTACAGAGTTCTGACAAAATTTTATATTTAGATCTGAGACTTGGAATTTACCCTATAATAACAAACATGAAACAGCAAAAGTATTTATTACAAGCCAACCAGGAGAAACACTGTCTTTCTGTAAGCAGAGCCCTTCAGTTCAGCCAACCCAGCCTCTGGAGCCTGAGAAGTATTACATTTCTTATGAAGCAGAGAAGAAACCAAGAGCACCATGTGGTGTCCCCCATGCTCGAGGGGGCACTGACACAGGTGTGAATTCCCAGAAAAAATTAATTAAAAAAAACCCAAAACCTGTTCATTTCCTTGCTTGCCTCACCTCCCCACCATCAAATTTCTCCTCCTGTGCACACAACAATAGCTGAGAAAGAGATCTGCACATTATCCCCAGGAAAAGACAGCAATCAGCTCCCTGCCCACAGATTACACCAGACTTCTCCAGCTCCTAGGTGATTCAACTCCCCTGGGTATTTGGCCTTCAATTTCCTCCTTTGTTCAACACACTCATTATAATCATCGCAGCAGAAAAGTGAAAAGGTCAGCAGGTCATAAATTATATCAGAGCAATTGCTTATGTGGAATATAAGATAATTATCTGATGTACAATCAGCCTAAAAGAACTGGGCTAGACAAGATCTGCAAAAAGATACCCAGGAAATATTTTGCAAAGATAAATTCAAAAACCTCAAAAATCCTTCACAATTATGCTACAGTCAGCACTCTGTAGAAGGTATTTTAGTATAGAAAGTGGTGAACTTAAACACAGACTAAAATTAATTTTCCTCCTATGTCCCAGTTTACCCTTCAGCTATTCTCAAGGTTTCACTAAATCCACTAATCTGCCAATATTGGCAAGCCTTGCAAAAATATATTGGGTTTTATTAGCTTCCAAAGAAACAGAAGCTGGTCTATAATTAAATTTCTATAACAGACCTTATTCCCTCGCCCTAACTTATTTTTAGAATTTGTGGTCTCAATGAGAACTGCTTCCTGAAATACAGTCAAGGCCACACACCCAGAAGTTTACAGAATTTCAACGTTTTCCCATCAATCTGAACTCTTTGGCTCAGAGCTCCTGTCCCTCTCTCGGGTTTGCAGTGCTGAAAGCCTTAAAACCTCAGAACTCGATTTGCCAACCACTTTGTTTATCAAAACACCAAACTGCTTTTCCTCCTCTGTTGGTCTTGCTGTAAGTAAAAGCTCTCTATTGTGCAAAGTGAGTACACAGCCTCATCCTGTACAAAAAGCATTTATATTGTTCAGCTTCAAGCATTTCCAAAGAAGGTTAAGCCAAACCATGTTCAGATTTAGCTCTTCACATTCAAATGGAGAGTGTAAGAAATCCTAACAGCATTTCAGGATTGATCTCCTCAGAAATTCCACTGTACATTAAGGAATATATACTCTTTGAGACTGGAAAAGAAGACAAGCTTGTATTTTGCAGAATGTAGGGGAAAAAAGTAAGTATTCTCCTGAACTTATAAGGGAACTACCTCTTTAAGACATCTCAAATTGAGGTACTTTCTAAATAAAGGCATAATACTCAAATCTACACTGATTTAAGTTACTAAAAATAAAACATATTGGACAAAATATTTTAATTTTTTTTACTATTAGAAAGCCAAACATCTAACAAACAGACTGACGTTTTTTGAGGTCATGTTGTTTCCACCAAAAATATTCTCAGATATTTTTTGCTGATCTTCACAAGCAGCACCAGCTCTTTTTGATTTGTGAAGCCCTACAAATTTAGATGGACAGCTGAATGGTATCACAAGCCTACTGAAAATAGATGTGTTTTTCTTGATTATTTTTTGACGCCGTTGGAACGGGCCCACAGATCCCACAACACCAAAGACCACCATTAAAGGAGGAGTGCAGAGGAATCAAAAAAGGAAATTATCTCAGTTTCCCAAAATAAAACTCCAAGTATTTCTCTTCAAATTATTTCATCTCAATAACTCTGCCTCATCTTGTGCCTTTCACTTCAGCAAAATCCTGAAATAATTGCATTTTGATCATTTTATACACCGCTTCTTATGCTGTTTTTGAGGAAGAAAAAGATAGAAACCAACTACAATTGGCTTCAGCAGCCAATGCTTTTCTCTTTGACATCAAATCAAGAGTTTGAGCCTACCTGTGCCAGGTTGAAAGACCACTATCAAAAGGCTGGCTTTTTAAGGCAATTAAGTATAAATCAGACATTTAACATCTTTCTAGGCTTCCTTTTTCAACACAAATTTAAAATTCTGTTAACTAAGGATGAAAAAAATGAACTTTTAAGATCTAAGCCTGACAGTAACAGCAAATACCATCTGTTCAGCTGGAGCTGAGGAATTTTTAAAGCAGTTATCATAAGGAAAAGGGAAAATCACCCTTCAAACACGATTGCTTTACAGTTTCTTCAGAAATGTCTCAAATATGCCTGTCAGTGCATTCTGTCACAGACTGACCTGCACTAGTAGCCTTTGTGAAACTAACTCCAAACCAAATTTCAGAAACCAACCTCATCTATCACACAGAAAATCATGAGAGGGAGTTCACAAATTATTTTAACTTTGTCCCACCAACCCATATTTTACAAGCTCCTCTCACAACCACGAAATTCAAGCCAATTACTGCAAATTTCCAACCTGGTATAGGCAAGGGGTATGATACTTTCCAGCCACAGTCAGACTTTGACTGCATTTCCAAGAGTCAGGTGCTAGGCAAAAACAACCCACCAAGTTATGTGGGAAACCCTCACTACTTTCTTTGTGCTTTTAAGTTTTTGTGATTTACCAGCACAACCTTTGTGCTTCATCCCTAACATTCAAGGTAGGGTTTATTATTTTTTTAGGGTATAAAAGACTACATTTTCTTAGTTGCTTGATTTCAGGAGTTTAAGGAGGGAAAAACCCAAGTGCCTGGAAAGTCATGAAGTCCTTGTAAGCTGACAATGATCAGACATATGCAGTACATATATAAACACAAAGTGTTGATAATCTTGTGCATACTCAATGAGAGGAGAATCTACACAAGAAAGAAAGAGGAAATCAGTGAGTCTGTTTCTTCTCACCTACTTACTCCAATCCACAAGCAAATGAGAAGTAGATGAATGCTGATCAAAAAGCAGAATTTCAATATTTGCATTTGATTGCAATTTTCATCAAATTAAATAAAAGGTTCACTTCTTTTTAACTGTCCTGAGACCTGCAAAGTAAAGTAGTAGTAAATTAAATGTTAATTATTATTATTAGAAAAACAGGCAAGTACTATCCAGATTTGGGATATGCAATTTCAAGTGATGGGTCTGATTTGTAAGAGCAACAAGGAACAGCTCCACAAAACAAGCACAAGTGAGAAACCTTGGCAGGGTGCACCACTGCTTGACTTTACTGCACTCCCAGTATTTACCCAGTACCAGGCAGGAATCCTGAGGCTGTAATACTGGCAAGGAGCAAACAGCCTGCTTCCAATACAGCTGTTCTGACAGGCAGCACAGGGAAGAACAACCTCACTTAAACCTGCAGGACACCCGTCTTGGCCAGCTTCACTCAATAGTTTTAAAAAAAGCACTTCGAAAAGAACAAAAAAAACCCAAACAAAACAAACAAAAAAACCCAAACAAAACCAACAAAAGCCATCAAGACTTGTTCTCTTGGCTCAATGAAAGCAGTTGTAAGGTGAAAGACATGAAATCAAATATTCCTCCTGTTTGGATAAAGGCAACTATTAGCAGAATAACTTTAAAAGCTTTGAAATAACTGTTTACATTTAGAGGAAAACACACAAAGGATGAAACTCCATTCTACCAAGACACGAGGCAAATCTCACATTGATTTAACGAGGGTCAGGATTCCACGTACAAAGACCAATCATCTAAATAATAGCATTAACTGCTGAGAAACTGCAAATCCTGCAGAGCCATCTTTAAAATCAATACAGAGAAAAACCACATTAAAATGACTTGTAATTCAGCACATACACTTCTATTCTATTCCAAAACATGTTTTTTTAGGTAAACTGCAAAATCCGTCTTTCCTAGCCCAATACTCTTAAATTCATTGTTATATATTGGTCAACTCATGCTCTATCTGGATCTTGAGGATACTCAGACTTGTAAGAGCTCAAAAAACCTGAACCACTTCTCCAAACCCTTTAATTTCTGCCAAGCTTGAACATCTTGTACACCCCCAACCTGTACCAGAAAGCCAGCGGCATCAGGGATACCTCACCACCAAGCACCATGAGAGATTTACAGAAACCCAAATAATTTCTTAAAAGATGGATTTTAAGAATTATCCATCTTCCACATAAAGCAGGATTTCTGGGAAGGGAGGGTAAAACCCACATGTCTTAAACACTGATTTTTTAATTTTTTTTTCCCCCAATATCAGTTATGAAGAACGATAAGCACCAAATTAACTGATGCAGTGAGATGCACATCCAGAGCCTTTAGGTTAATTTAATTAAGAAGTCACTTGAAGTTTGATGCCATATTATAATGCATAACATTCTAACAACTTACTCGAGGTAACTCACTCCCCTGCTTTACATCTTTAAGCAATCATCATGTCCATTTTTATTGTAAGGCACACAGCAAAGAATGGGAAGGCATTTAGAGTGAACTGTCCTGAAGTGCACTTCAGATATTGACACTTGCACATTTAAAATAGTTAAGATTCCAATCATTAACCTTCTGGAGAGAGTAAATTTGCAGCTCATAAAAAGAAACAAAACACTGAAGCATTACAGGCATCCTGAATTTTGTGCTGAAAGCCCCCAGTGAGCATGCAGGACTCTCACCTCCTGGGTACTGCTGCTGGGTGTTTAAAAACCAACTGAAGAAAACTGAGGTCACTTTAAAGGGGAGAGAAAGGGATGAAACTCTGCTCAAAAACCACTTAATGAGAGGTGACAAAAGACACACCTTGGAGGATGTTCTTTAAGTGGCACACACTCTGCTCACAATTAAAACATGCTCTGGAAGCTGTTCAGTTCCCTGTCTTGGTAGCCTTCCAAGTCATGCAATTAAAATTGGTAATAAATATGATTCTGACTGACGAACATTCTCCAACTTCATAATGACAATTTAAATATAGTTGTCAGTCTTCTATGCTGTAATACCTGAATACTAAAGCTGCTATCAAATACTGACTTCTGTCTTTTGAGACCTCTGAATCATTTCATTATCTTGACACCCGGACTTCATAATCAGACGAATCTTTTATCCTGTGAGACACAAGAGTCGGTCTTCATGAACTGCTTTTCAATCAAAACACTCTGGGGAAAAAAAAAAAGGATTCCTCACTCAATTTATTGATGAAAAGAAACAGAAAGATGAAATAATTTACATGTCTTTATTGGGGTTTATTGGTGAGCTACAGGAAGCACCAGCAAAAGAAAGCACAGTTGCTTCAACTCCCATCTTCTGACCTAAGCACTTGCCAAACACTGCTTCTCAAGTATTCTGGATGAGGTTGAAAAGAAAGCTTTTTTTTTAATGTCTCGAATGAACTGATAATGAGAAGGATTTCATTATTATTTACTACAAAAAGAAATACAAGGAAACACTGAGTGATGCAGGAAATATCAGACTCTAGGATCTGTCCGGTGCATTCTCAAAGCTTTTCCTTCACCTTCCTCTCCTCAGAACTGAAGGTTTCTCTCAGGCAGAGGATGCTGGTTCTGCTGCTGGGAGTCAGATCTGATGTACTCACAGCACACACCCAGTAAGTGGGACTGAATGTTCCACGGATTTGGAAATGGCTGCAATGGCTAAAACTTCAAGTTTTGCCCATGTAATTAATTTAATTAGAATAAAATAGTCTTAGTTATTCAGATCATTGAGAGGCTTTTGGCTGTACTTAAAAATAAAAATGTTGTTTATGGTAATGATGAAGTTCAAATACAATGAAATTTAAGAGGTTGATTAATTGAGTCTTACAAGAATTTTGAGACTTCATTGAGTAGTTTAGTACTTACTGTAACAATGAATTATTCAGAGATTTGGGGAAACAAAAGAGAAAGTGCTGCAGGTTGTATTGCTCCCTGCCTGTGACCACATGGACCTGTGAATTTTGAGTATGATGGAGAGAAAAAAAAAACAAACCTTACCCTTCAGCATATTCTCCTTTCCATAACTGAAGACCACAAGAGACAGTTCCTACACATTCCAGACATCATTAATTTCATATCAATTGACAATCCTCAATTTCAATAAACCAGAAAGTCTGCCTCTCTGTCTTACTGAGCAAAGCTAGCTGGAAATACTCAAAAGAAAACATTTTTCTGTCCAACAATGACAATTTTTATTTGACCCTATGATAGAGATCTCGGCGTCAACAACCTCCTGCAAAGCTAAAAAACTGCATATGCATATTTAATACACACATTAAGTTCTGTAACTAACCACCTCCTAACCACTCTGATGTATTTCTTTTTCCTTGGAAGAATTTAGAGAGGTGTTTGGTTTGTTTTCTGTTTTGGTTTTTTTTTTGGGGGGGGGGGGGAAAGGTCCCCCCTTCTATTGAGAGTAAACAATTTTTGCAGCCTGGAGATATTTAGTGAAAGAAATTGTTATTTTCTACTAAGTGAAAAAAGTGGCAACCAGAACTGTTCCTGTAATCCTTCTCCCCATCCTCACAAACATGTGGGGAAAAAGAGCGGGGGTGGAGGGGGCTTGGTTTTGGTTTTAAAATGAGAAGCAGCAGAGCCCATAGAAGTTAGATGAGATGAGAACTGCAATCATTATCTTTGATTCTCTATACAACAGGATGCTCAGGGCACATGAGGAGCTTTGTACACACCACATCCCACCTCCATCTCCCACCAGAATGCACCTTCAAGCCACAAGTCCAGGTTATAGTTACAAAAGCACTGCAGTTGTGTGCATGAGACACCCATAAAACGCCTTTAAACTTGCTTACTGTAGGAAAACAGAGCAAGGGGAAATGAGCACGAGGTTCTTGCTGAAATAAACCCTTTTTTTCTTTCCTCTACCGATCAGGTGGAGGAGGAAAAAGCATCTCAGATATTAAGTCCATACAGTGCCAAGATATCTTACTTCATTTATTAACACTGCATTACACTCTTTGAAAAGATCCAATCTTAAGAAACAAAATACATAAAGTAACAAGCAAAAACTTAAAGCGCTTGAATATCAGTATAAATAACCTTAAAATGCCTATTTTTAACCACCAACTACTGTGAGATTGTGGCTCCCGTTATCCAAAAATGTTCTCTGCAGCCCTCCAGTGGTCAAAGGCACAGCACAGGGAACGACCCCGGTTTTGGCTGATGAACCACAGAATAAAACAGACATCAACCTCCTACGCTCGTCTAAAGGAAAGACCCTTATAAAGGGGTTAATTACCTTGAATTCCATTAGACAGTAAAGAGAAGGAAAGTGATTGCCATCCATCAAAATGCGTTTTGTGTTAATCTGCCCACAAAGCACGGCGTTCCCACCAGGACAGCGAGGCACGTCGGCTCAGAAACAGAAGGAGCAACTCACGTCCTACAGTCACTTTCTGCTATTCGTACGTGTAAATGTAAACAAAGTCAAGTAACATTTGCTGGAAACAATCAATTTCCTCACAAAGTTACGGCTCAAAGTTGGGGTTTTGTTAGGAAAACAAACACTGAAGTTTTCTATAAACATCAAAGCCCCATACAAAATTAAGAGCAACTGAAACGTTTGAAAATAATATAAAATAGACTGAGACAGAGCTCTCAAAACTAAGTTTCTAAAACTTGGGGCTCGAGAGCCAGTCCTAAACGGCGTGGAAGCAATGCAAGGAGAAAGCAAAAAGCAGAGGCAAGGAATCGCCGACAGCTGGGAGGTGGAGGAGGCACGGCCGGCTGGGAGGAGGGAGAGGGCGGCAGCCCCGCCGGGTCAGCCCTGTCCGGCCCGGGGGAACCGCGGCACCGCTCCTCCGGTACCGGCCCGGGGGAACCGGGGCACCGCTCCTCCGGTACCGGCCCGGGGGAACCGGGGCACCGCTCCTCCGGTACCGGCCCGG